TTTAAAAAAAAAAACTTGCAATTTGGGATGTATGCAGTATGAATCTAAGAAAATTTGAAGTCATCAGAAATGAAATAATGAAATGATATACGTAAAGATGAATGTCTGGGCATTAGTGATCAAAATGGCCATTTTGAATCAATATGGTCTACTATGCCAGTAATGATTTATTGACTAGGGATGATATATTTGTCATCAAAAAGTACATTTCACACTATGAATGACGGAAAATGTGAAAGACAGTGTGCATGAGTTTTGTATATAAACCAATATAAAAGAATATTTTAGGATTTATCCTAAAGTAACAGGATTATCAGTGATATGGATCCAGAGAAATTCTGTTATGAGTGTTGTTAAAATTTATGTACCAAATATGCAGAATTTAAAGACTTTTATGAACTTGTGTGGTCTGAAATGGATTACACATGTAATTAGGATACATTGAGATGTACTAGGTGGAAGCAAGAAAGGATATTTCAAAAGTATAACCTTGTTAAGAGATGTGATGCTGGAGATTGCATGATAGAATTTTCCAACACTTAATGCAGTGAAATACACAGGAATAAAATCAATTACTTCTCTATGGAAAGATGATGGTAAAGCTTACTATCAGTGAGGGCCCATTTAAGTTCAATTTAGGGACCAATTGTGAAACAATTAATTGCTCATATGCACATAAAGAAGGAAGCTGAAAAGAGTTAAAAGAAATCCATGAGAGCCAGTAATCCAAAAAACTGTATTGTGTGAAGAATGCAGCATCAGCATTGGAGGAAGACTCTCAACCATCTACAGCACACATATGGCACACTTTTTGAGTGTGGAGAAAAAAATACTGATGATGCCAAAGACTACGGCTTTCAGTATAGTTACACTTTGACCTAAAGGAAAATACATTCCCACAATTAGACCATTAAACTTCCCCTTCTCCCATCTTGATTAACTGTACCTGCTGGATCCCCTAGATAATTTACAAATACAAATTATGAATATTTATCAGAGGACATTGTAATTGTAGATATTTTACAAAATATGTGTTTTTTAAGTACTTTGAGAAATTTCTACTTGGCTATAATATTTTAATTGTGATTGGATATTTAATTTTATCAAGTAATCTTATGTATCGATGACCATAGAATTTCCTTCTTTCTTTCACTATAAAGTATTTAGTGATACGTGTTTCGCTGACATTTCATTTCTGTAATTAAAATTCTCTTGATCATTCTGCAATATATTGCTCATATTGTATGCAGTTGGTCTTTGTTTATTTTAATGTTTTTAAGCAAATTTGTCTGTAATTTTTCTCTTAATTCCCTGTAACTTACTAATAATTTCCTTATCTTCAGAGGAAAAGTAGCTATACACCGGAAGATGACAACTTACAGATATTTACTCTGTAAATATCTTGTTTATGTTCTAGGTGACTGAAAATATTAGCTAATGAAAGGAGAAACTACCTGATGATGCAGATAATAGGAAAACAAAATTGATAGATTCTGTTACCATTGGTACTGTCTTTTTAGAGTGAGCTAGATAATTTTCTTTTTTTGAGGGTAAGGGCTTAAGATTAGTAGAATTTCCCTGCATAAGCACCTTAGTCTGGAGTCATCTTAATATTTGTTTTTTTGGACATCCCATGTGGGATACCAGCTTTTTTTTAAAAAAAATTAAAAGAATTTGCAAGAACTGTACTATGTATATTCATATCTGTTTCAGTTACATCTTCTGGTTGTTTAATTTTTTTGCCAAAATACTTGCTTGCTTTCTTTTTGCACATACACATATCTTAATGTATATATGCAAATATTTGAGATTCTTTTGCCTTTGAACAAGCACAGTGGCTCTCCTAGCCACAAAAGAGTATAGTCATAGCATGGAAATAACTAGAAAAGACACATATTTAATTGTATAGCTCAACAAAATAGCACGAGGTGATCATAGCAGTGTTACCATTCTGTTCCTGGTTAAGAAATGCAATTGTGCCGCATCTCAGTTGCCCTCCGTACCTGTCTATTCACTGTAATCACCAGCATCTTGAAAAATACATTCTAAATTCTTTATTTCTTAGATAGGATCAGATTTACCATTTATGTGCTCAAATGGGTTTGTTTTGTTATCATTCCATATCCTTTCTGAATTTGTTTTGTGTGTGTCTTTAGCTACACAGAGATATGTTGAATTTCCATTGTGATTGTGGGTGTCTATTTCTTCCTGTGGGTCTGGCAATTTGTCCTTTCATTTTGTTTATTTATATCTATTGATTGATTGATTTTGGTTTCTGTATACACAGAGTCATTTTTTACAGGTCAGAACTATAGAAATAATGAAGAGGTGACCCTGATCCGTAAAGCTGATCTGGAGAACCACAATAAAGATGGTGGCTTTTGGACAGTGATCGATGGAAAAGTGTACGACATCAAAGACTTTCAGGCGCAGTCAGTAACAGGGAATAGCATTCTTGGTAAGGCTATGTCTTGCTTCAGCACTAAGTTTCAGTGTGCCATTTTAAAACAAAATTTTGCTCATAAATGATGTCTTTACCATTGCTTCAGCTCCACACAAACAACTTAGGAAAGGGACATAACTTGACAGAAAAAAAAGACTTGGAGTGCTTATTGATGAAGAATATAGCCTTCAGTATGAATTACATTTTAACATAAAATGAAATTTCTCACTCCTGGACCATTTAACAACATAATAAATAGAAAAAGATTCATATAATCAAGAAATTTCATTTTACTTGTGTCCATAGTCAATATTCATGGAAGAAACATTTGAAGAAACCAAACAGCATGATACAGTGGACAAGTGTAATGCAAAGGAAATTTTTTAAGTGTTAAAAGAGCAAGGGTATCACTTTAAAGGCTAATATGTACTTCATAAAACTAATATTAGCTAGACTTAAGCATGATGTTTTTAGCTGCTTCATAAGACCAAAAAAGAAGTGATGCTTTTGAATTGTGATGAAGAATATTGAATATTCTGCCAAAAGAACAACTAAATATGTCTTAAGAGAAGTGAAGCAGAGTAGTCTTTGGAAGCAAGTGGTGAGATTTCATCTCTTAAACTTTAAGCATCTTATCAGGAGGGTCCAGTCCCTGGAGAAGGATGTCATTCTGGAAAAAGAGGATCAGCAAAAAAACCCCACCAAAAACAGAGGAAGACACTCTAGGAGTTGTATTGATAAACTGACTGCAGGAGTGGGCTGAAGGCACAGCAAAGGTTAAAATGATGGCACAGGATCAGCAAGCTTTGCTTTTGTTGTATATGAGGGATCACTGTGAGTCAGAGTAAGAGTACTTAACAACAGATTTAGTGACTGTCTTACCAGTTAATTCTGGGACATTGGAGCAGTTTCTCATTGTTCTACATTGTTTTTATTGAAACATGTTGTTCTGAATTAGTCCATGCAGCTTTAGCAGGGTGTGAGAGATGATTATTCTTAGGTATCGTCTCACTTTTGAGTTAACCAAAAGATTTGTTGTAGATGTTAAAGCAAACTATATTTTTTAAGTCATAGTGTTTTATAATTATTCCTTTTGTTTCATTTTTATTTCAGCTCAGTTTGTAGGGGAAGACCCCGTAGTTGCTCTGGAAGCTGCTTTGCACTTTGAAGATACACAGGAATCAATGCATGCATTTTGTGTGGGCCAGTACTTGGAGGTGAGACTTGTGTGCAGGGCCTGCTATGTGAACAACAAGAGACTGTGTGTGTTTGTGATTGGATGCCTTTTCTCTTAAAGAGGGACATTAAGTGAACCTTTACAGGACTTCATGTCTAAACATGATTATACTGTAAGGAGTTTTTCAAATATATAGCTACTTGTGCTAAGATTTAGAATTAATTTACAAGAAAAAAAATTTTTGCTTCAATTTTATTGTACACATGTGTAGAAATTTGATATGAATTATTTTTTTGATTAAAATATTTGTGCAGACCTGCATTTTTAAAGAACAACCATATATTAATATAATTCCTTTTTTTTTTCTTTTTAAAAAATTCTTTTTATTAAGAGTGCTTTTGGAAGTGGGAAGGTAGGGTTGCATAACTTGTTTAGACAATAGTGGTTCATATATGTGAGTGGCCTGGAGCAAAAAGTGCAAATCTGCAGTTGGCATCAGGGTCAGGAAGGTTGGCCTGGCTTCTCAACCTGTAGTCTTGAGCAGGTCACATCTTTTTTCCGACCTCAGCTTTTCTGTCCAATGGATCTGTAGGCTGGGTTGGAGCTGTGGTACTAAGCCCACCCTTGTGGGAGGGACGCTGGAAGAAGACAAAGGAGGATTCTAGATTTAGAATCCCTTTCTTATGCATCCCTTATCATCAGCAGAGGTCTCTCTTATATGCTTATATACTTATATGCTGAGTGATCAAGAGCTTCTCTGGGCCAGTGGCCCTGTGGTAAACAAGAGTTCAAACAAAACAACCTGTGGAACTTCCAAACCCCAATACCTCTTTCTGTCAAGGAATTTCAAGTTGTATCAACATCCAAGAAACTACCCTAATCCAGTGTCCGAGACACTGTATATTTGTAGTGGTGACACCAAGTAATTCATGCAAATAATTAATTAGCCAAAAATGCTTTCTCTCTCTTCCTGACTTTGCATTAGGCATGGCTCATAGCAAAGAATCCATTGAGTTTCTAATACTGTAATTTGCATGGGAAAGTACCTTTCTCCTACACTGCATCTAAGTTAAAAAAGTGGCCTGTGAACACCCAGACCTATTGTTGAGAGTAGCATGCTTGGTATACAGCAGCAGATTATCAAAACCCAACCCAGCCCACTGTCATTGAGCAGATTTCGACTTTTTCCTGACAAGAAACTTGTTAGGACAAGGGGGAGCCACCGTTGGCCTTTTCCAAGGCTGTAATGTTTATAGAAAAGTCCACCACATCTCCCACCTGTGGAGGAGCTGTGGGTTTGAGCCACCAGCCTTTCAGTCAGCAGCTGAGAGCTTTAACTACTGTTACTAGCAGGCTCCTTTAGTACAAGTTACCAATGGTTATTATTTATACACTATGTTTCTTCCTGTGAGGTTGAAACATGCTCAGAGTGCCCAGAGATGGTAGTGTCCAGTACTGACAGTTGTGGACACCCTGGAGAGAATCACTGTGTTCTACAGTTTTGATCATTAAACCTGAGGAAGTGAATCTCGATGGCCTGTGGACAGAGTTACTAATAGTGGGAAAACAGAGGGGCTTCATCTGATAGTGACAGAAACCGCAAAACCTTCATATGACGACAACCCATAATCCTCATTCCACTTTAGCTGAGAGAGGCAGAGGTGAATACCCCTTCCCATGTCTTCTTCAAGGCTGTTCCATAACTAGATCTAATTTTTAAGAACTGTGGGGTGTGTTGGCCATAGGCCTTGCTTCTGTGAGGTCAAAAGTCAATAGGAAAGTCAGGCTCAGGACACCAAACCTAAAGTTGTCCTCCTCATCCCATCCACCAGGATGCTCTAAGGCACCCAGGCTGCCTCCTCTGTAGGTGGTTCTTAGGTCTACACCTCCACAGTCTTCCCAGGGCTGTCCCTATCTGGCCCAGAGGAGATGGTGACTCTAGGCTGGACATTGCGCTTTCTGGGTTGCCATAGTGGGTGTATCCCTATAGGGTTACCGTGGAGATTAGGGCCTGGGGAAAACAGGAGCACCATACCTGCTTGTCCCTCCATCTTACAAAGTGACTGTCAGGGACATGTATGGTACTGCAGGAGGGCCTAGCTGTCCACCAGAGAGAAAGGTAGGTGGTGAGAAGCCAGTCCCGGTCCTGCAGCCTTGCCGAGCTTCCGAGTCCACAACCCTGAAGGAGGGCTATCTCAGAAGATCTTGAAGCCCTTCAGCAGGATCAGGGTGGGTGCCTTCCACATGCTCTGGGCTAGAGATGACTTCACAGTGGCCAGCTGAGGCTGGGCCATCATGGCACCTCTTACAGGCTGATGGTGGAGAAGATGTTGAAGGTGCAGCTGACCAGCTCATGCTGGGTGAAATATAGTTCTTTAAAATGGAAATATATCCTCCCTATACCCAAAGTTTCAGGAAGACAAGGCAAAGTATTATGTAACAAAATTTGCAAGGAGCTGGAATTGGAAAATCAAAAGGGCCAAACTTGATTGGTGTTTGTTAAGCTGAAGGAACTAAAGAACAAATTCAAGCCACAAGTTGACGTGCTTAAGGATGCTATGGGCAGAATACGGAATGATTCAGGAAGCATTGAAAGAAGATGGGAGGAGTATTACAAGAAATAACCTATGATCAAAAGGCAATGGTGATGGAGGAAGAAATTCAGGCTGCTCGGAAGGACATGGAAAAAAATAAAGCCCCAGGAATTGATGGAATACCTGTATTTCGACAAACAGATGCTGCCCTGGATGTGCTTACCAAATTGTGCCAGGAAATCTATAGGACAATTACTTGGCTAACTGACTGGAAAAGATCATATTGATTCCCATTCCCAAATAAAGGTGACCCCACAGAGTGTGGAAATTATCGCACATATTACTATTACCACACACTAGTAAAATCCTGCTGAAGATTATCCAGAAACGACTGAACAGTATATTGATGGAGAACTACCAGAAATACAAGGGGAAATTAGAAAAAGTCATGACACTACAGACATTATTGCCAATAGATGGATCTTGGCAGAAAGTAGAGAGTATCAGACGAGTATCTATCTGTTTCATTGACTATGCAAAGGCATTTGACCGTGTGGATCACAACAAATTATGACTAACCTTGAGGAAAATGGAAATCCCAGAACACGTCTAGTTTCTCTGAAAATTCATTTAGGGTCTTTGGAAACTCATGTGGCCGAAGAGAGGTGAGTCCTTGGCTTTGTCCTGTGCTCGCTGGGGGCTGGCTCTGGAGTGCTTTGTTGGCCAGAAGCTACTTTTTTGGCTAATGAGAGCCCCGGATGCAAGTCTGGTTTCTTTGCAAATTCATTTGAGCCCTTAGGTCTGTGGCCCTGGGACCTGATTTTAATTATTTTTGGTCAAACCTTCTAAGCTATATAGCAGTGGTCTATCCATTTACAGAGGTAACTCGTGGTTGCTATGATGCTAAATACTGTGATACTGATGTGTCAAATGTGATTATGCTTACCCATAGTGGACAGTGTTTGGTAGAGCTCCCTGATTAAAACAAGCTTGGAAGCAAGTCTGACATCCACTTCTGAAATAGCTTGCCTCCAGAAACTCTATGAACTTGGAGAAATGATTGAAGTTATACAAATGTTCAGGTCTTTCGTTCATAGGGTTACTATTAGTTGTCTACAACTTGACGACACTTAACAACAACAACAACATTATTGGACCAAGAAGCAGTCCACAGAACAGAGTAAGGAAACACTGCATGGTTCAAAATCAGGAAAAGAGTGTGTCAGGGATGCATCCTGTCTCCGTACCTTTTCAGTCTTTATGCAGAACAAGCTTTCTGAGGAGGAATGTAACGTCAGGTTTGGAGGAAGACTCATCAACAACCTGTTTTGTGCAGATGACACATCTTGTTTGCTGAAAGAAGAGCTGAAGTGCTTGCTGAAGATGGTCAAGGACTGCAGCCTTCAATATTAATTGAAGCTCAACATCAAGAAGACAAAGATTCTCACCACTGGACCAGTTGGGAACATTATGATAGATGGAGAAGAGATTGAGGCTATTAATAATTACAGCTTACTAGGCTCCACAATCAACATCGATGCCTTTTGAGTTGTGATGCTGGAAAAGTCTTGAACATACCATGGACCGCCAAGAGAGCAAATAAGTCTGTCTTGGTGAGGGTGAAACCAAGTTTTTCCTTGGAGGCTAGGATTTTGAAATTCCATTTGGGCATGTGGCCAGGAGAGAAAGGTCGTTGGAGAAGAACATCATACTCAGAAGGTTGGAGGGCCAGTGCAGGAGATAATGACCCTGGATGAGATGTATTGATATAGTAACAGACAATGGGGTAGGTGTGTTGAAAAGTGAGACTGGATGGCAGGGTTCAGAGCTGCTGTACATAGGGTCACTATGAGTTGCAGGCTATTCAGTAGCACATAACAACAACAACAGTAACAACACCCAAAGACAGAGCTGATGGCCTAGTGGTTAGAGGCTGCATTGCAGTCCTGAAAGTACACTGTTCGTTTGCATCCACCTCTTCCACCACAGGGGAAGGATGGACAATCTCCTTTCATGCAGTTAACTGCCTCTGAAAACCCACTCTGGGTTCAGCTGTGCGTCAGTTCCAACTTGATGGTATACAACAACAAAAACATCCAAAGGCAGGCATTCATATTCATCAGGTGCTCCATGGGGGGGAAATGGGCAGTCTCTTCATAGCTGATTTTACCCTCTAAAAACTTACTGGAAGGTCAGCTTTGAATTGGTTCTGACTTGCTGGCAGTAAACAAGTGAGTGGATGAGTGAGTATTCAGGATCATTGAGCTTTATATAATAAGATTGACTTTGCGATTCCAACTCATAGCTATTCTCTTCAGTTTGTTGTGTGTTTTTTTGTTTGTGTTTTTGAGGCTTTCAGCCTTTCATGAGGACCTAAGAACTCTTCCCATTTTCTACCTCAGAGTGCCTGGTGGATTTCAACTGCCAATCTTTGGGTTGACAGTCCATGTAATGCAATATACCACCAGTGCATTTTTATGTAGATGGAGCAAACTCTGCTGCCATTTGGTTATTTCTATTCTGTAGCCCTGCATTGGGTTTCTAAGGCTGGAAGTCTGTATGGTCCTATGGAACAGCCAATGGAGCATCTGAACTTGGAGTTAACAGCCCAACACATAACTCACCATTTCACGAGTGCTACAGGGTTATGATATGTGATATTGGGGAAAATGAGTTTCTTTTTGATTTATCCAGTGTGACTTAAAAAAAACTTAAGCTAATTGTTATTTAGATTTTGGTTTTCATTTAACAGGACTTCATTTTGTGAGAATACATTTATTCTATGTGTATATATATAGCTTTTGACTATAGCAGTGAGTTGTGAATTTTTATAGATAGGCATAATTTAGTAACTTAAAAACAACAATATTTGTTAAAATTTCATTTCTCATTGGATTTATTGTACATGTATTTATATCCAGTAGATTTTCTGAAGCCCTGTCTCTGGCAACTTTTGTTTCCTGCTCTAAGGAATTTTGTAACTAAATCCTTTTTCTTTGCTTTGATTTTTCTAACAGTAACAGCTTTCTATTTTGTAGGGTGTGTTTTGCCTATATGCTCTCTGTTTAGCATGAAAGCATTAGCTTATTAACATGTAGAAATGGGAAACTGGAAGAGCTTAGTTTTTCTTGTCATGTTAGTAAGTTGTTTAAGAGCATGAGCTTGCTTTTATTTTTTTAATGAACTCTGTTTTCTTACACTGATGAAAAAATTTCTTTCTCCCAGCCTGATCAAGAAGTCGTTACCATTCCAGACCTGGGAAGCCTCTCTTCACCTCTCATAGACACGGAGAGAAATTTGGGACTCCTTCTTGGCTTGCATGCTTCCTACTTAGCTGTGAGCACACCGCTGTCTCCTGTTGAGGTTGAATGCTCCAGTAAGAAATTTTTATTTTCTGTGAACTGATGATGTAAGAATTTCTTTTTGTTGAGCCGTAAGTACCATTACAGGCTGGAGAGAACTGCCCAGTAGCTGATGAGGAAAAGTAAGGATGGCCAGACTAGAGCAGTCAGTGCAGAATGACTCAGCATGGCTTTGCTTGGAGTGAGATCTCTACAAAAAGGAAGCTTCCTGCCACATAGGCATGCACATTGTGACTTCTGTCACTCACAGTTGAGGTGGTAAAGGACAAATTCTCTTTTTTTTCACTGTGTCTCCAAACATCACTTGTGTTGTGAATTATCTTTAATTATGAATAACTCTTCTGTTTGAGGATTGTTTCTGTCAGATTTTGTGACAAATGTAGAAATGGCAAAGAGAGAAAGAAAAAGAAAAAACCAAAAAAACCCAACCAAATAAGAAAAGTATAGAAATGGCAATCTTTATAACCTTGTGAAGTAATAGAGATTTTTCCGTGTCCCTTAAGATGAATTTAAATTTTCCTTTATGGTTTGGTTTATTTCTCCATCTGTCCATCCCCCATCCATGTGACAAACACATGTTGAGCGGTTCCTGTTTTTAGATTCCCAACCTGAGCATTTAGGGTGCAAATATGTGCGAGGTCTGCTTCCCCCTTAGGTTGCTCCTTGTGGTGGAGATGCAGATAGGGATCCTTATTTGTAAGCAAATAGGGTAGTGTAATAAAGACTTTCACAGATTCTTCTGTAAGTTGCCAGGGGGAAAAAAGGTTTCACAGAGATGACAGCAAATAACTGAAATCTGAGTCCTAGTAAGTTGTGTGTGTGAGTCTGTGGGCAGAAGCATAGAATATAAGGGGTATCGTTTAGAAAAATAAGTTCTTTTATTTAAGGGGTTAATTGGTCTCAGGAGGGGCTTTAGTATGTGACAGTGGCCAAATTCTGAGTGTGAATATAATGTATATCAGGTGCTATGTTGCCTGCTGATCTCTCCAGGTGCAGTGGGTTTATCTTCTTGCCTGAAAACATGAGGCACAGCAGAGAAAAACTTTTTTTTTTAGGTCAGCAAATTGAGAAGGCAGCAGGCAAGGTTGGTGGTACAGCGGTAGAGGATGTTATATGGGCTTTCATAGTTGGCAGCCTGCGCAAGTAGGTCTTTTTGTAAAAGAGAGTAGGTGAACTGTGATTTTGAATGACGGGCATGAAAACCCTGGTGTTCTATTTAGAACCACAGTGGGTTGTGATCAGATACATGTTTTCTAAGAATAAATGTGGCAGATTGAATTGGCAAATAGAAATTCTCAAGGAAAAAACAGTGTATCCCACATTTGATTGTTGGGAGTTTTACAAGAGTGATTTGATGGGTAAAACATTGATGTCTTGTATTTGGTGAGTTTCCCCTCTATTTATTGCAAACTGTTGCAGTCATTATTCCTAGTTGACCTTCTAAGTGGCATTTTCTTGTCTGGTTTGACCTATTCTATGTTTAACATGTAAATCTTTTCATCATTTGTTGGATCACCATGTCAGTAATGAGTGAGTCATCCCTTAGGAAAAATTACATGCTATTAAATCCACTCTATTCTTTCCTTACAGATGCTCTTTGTATAAGTAGTCATCTCTTGTGATGCTTTTCTCTTGGGATGTTTTTCTATTCTAATCCTTTCAGCAGGATACGGGTGGACTATCTCCTCGTGTGCAAGTCACTGCCCCTGAACACCCTCTGGAGGGTCAGCTATGAGTCGGTTCTGACTCGATAGTGCACAACATCAGTAACAACCATCCCTTCATATATGACATTCCCTTGCTGGATGCTGTACATTTTTGTCTTAGTTGTTCTTTCCATGGAGAATCTTTTTTTGATCATAAACTAGTTCAGTCCTTTTCTTCTGTACACATAATCATAACTTTTGGTACTGATTGCATATAGTTATTTCATTTGAGATTTAGTGATTAGTTGTATAATTGTTGCTTTTTGGGCTAACATCTTTTTTAGAATGCATAGATAATCCCATCTTCACATGATGCCTGCAGAACAAAAATGGCTCCATGGATGTTATCTAGAAAATATTGAAAGGAAAGTACAGTAAAGTGTGTGAAAGTTGTAACTGGTACAAGACAGACCTATCAGAGAAGGAAAACTCAAAATATTTTTCCTAAAATGAGTGATAAAGTGTTAAGCCTGAACCCTGTCAAAGGTGAAAAACATATGAGACTTGGGCAAACCAAGCTCTTTCACAGATTTACTGTGTTGAGTACTGGCTTCACATATATATAGGAACTACAGTTCGATCCTGTGTAAATAATTATATATAAATTTTATGTAAAAGATGCTAAGTTTTACCTTTTAAGTATTTATTCAGCATCTTTTTTCCTCTTAGTATTTGTGTATGTTTAATCAATGTACTCTGCCTTCTGTACTGTGTGCTCAACATTATCCAGAGTGGCTCCAGTCATCTGTCTTCTCTGGAGGCCTGCAAACCAGTCAGATCCACTATAGCTACAATGAGGAGAAGGATGAAGACCACTGCAGCTCTCCTGGTGGCACTCCTGCTAGCAAATCACGACTCTGTAACTACAGATGGCCATTGGGTGACCATTCCCAGGCTTTTCTGCAGGCCATTGCTGACAACAACATGCAGGACCACACTGTCAAGGTGAGCTTGCTTCTGAGGGTCAGTCACAGAACAACTTTGACCTACCAAACCACCTGCTGAGGAATCTTACTGATTGTCATTGTGTTTATCTCATTACTTAACATGTGCATTCTTTTCTGATCTTTATTATTAACTTAGTCCAGACTTGGTTTCATGTGTCATTATGAAGAATAGTTTTTAGGTGAGATGCTGGTATGTGTAACTCAGTATACAGGCAGCATTTTAGACCCAGTACTGATTTACAAGTACTTTAAAAGCTGTGACCAGTTTGGATTTTGTTGGTATGAAGATTGCCCTGACATAACCTCTTTCCTCTTCCTTTGCAGGACTTTCTGTGTCAAATAGAAAGGTACTGTAAGCAGTGTCACTTGACCACACCAATCACATTTCCTCCTGAGCATCCTGTGGAAGAAGTTGGTCGCTTGTTACTGTGTTGCCTCTTAAAACATGAGGATTTAGGTCTGATGTCAAGTTTCAGTCTATTTATGTAGTGTTGGGCTCTAGTGATACATCATCATCATCATTATCCTTCTTTTACCTCTCTCTTTTTTAAATGTCTTTTGTATACAGGTCATGTGGCATTATCTTTAGTTCATACAAATACACTTGGTATTGAGCAAGTAAAACATAGGACATTACCTAAATCAGTAGTGGATGTTTGTAGAGTTGTCTACCAAGCAAAATGCTCACTAATTAAGGTAAATAGATTTTCAGCCTTTCCTAATGCAATCCAGACAGTTTTTTAAACTAATTGTTAAAAAATTGTCTTTTCTTACTTAACTTTGCAGACTCACCAGGAGCAAGGCCGTTCATACAAGGAAGTCTGTGCTCCTGTTATTGAACGTTTGAGATTCCTTTTTAATGAATTGAGACCTGCAGTTTGTAGTGACCTCTCCATAATATCAAAGTTTAAGTTATTAAGTTCTTTGCCCCGTTGGAGGAGGATAGTGCAGAAGTTAATTAGAGAACGAAGAAAAAAGAGAGGTATGATAAAAGATAAAAAATTGCAAACTATTTACTTTTACTGTTCTAACTGTAGCTGTATTTCTAAAATTAAAGTATACTTAAATTACTCTTGCTGCCATTGTGTCTGTTTTATGTTACATGTGTAACATGTACCACATATGTAACAGCCATCACAATTACATGCATGTATAATCCATCACCCTAAAGTTTACCCCTTTGTAGTCATTCCCAACTCCTTGACTCCCAGATCCTCATCTCTAGTAACCTGCCATCTGTTTTTCATCTCTGTAATTTTGTGATTTTAAGTGTAAGTAGATTATTTTTATTAAAATAAATGTCTTTTAAAATACAGTTCCTAAAAAGCCAGACTCTACTAATGAAGAAAAAAATGGAAATGAAGAGAGTGATTTAGATGAAGCTTGTGTTTTAGATACCAGTCCTGTAAATGTGGACAGAAGACCTGTTACAGTTAAATCTCCAAAGGTAAAATACTGTCTCTAATTTTCAAACCATTTAACTAACAATACAGTATATAGCAAAGGAATCTATAGTGTAGAGAACATAGTGAATTTTTATAAAAAATGTGGGTAATTGGGCAACATTGATGCTCAGGGTTGTAGTATGGTGGTAAGATGCTTCCTTTTATTTTCAGTAATATATTATTACTGATTCACCATTGAATATATCCTTCCTTACCAACACTGTACACCAGGTTAGCTTTTCCAAAGTATATTGGATACCTTAGTCCCTTGCTCTTCATCCCCAAACCCCTCAAAAAAATCCTACCTCAAACCAAAACCATTGGCTTTGAGAAGATCCTGACTCACAGTTACCTGCAGGACAGAGTACAATGTCCTGTCCAGTTGCTGAGACTTGTAGATCTTTACAGAACCAGAGTGCAGAATCTCCCACAGAGATGCTGGTGGATTCCAACAACTGACCTCTTGGTTAGCAAGTGAATGCTTAACCACACATTATAAATTCATTAGTAAGCGTGGGAGGAGATTGTCCATGTTTATTCCCCAGAGCAGCTGGTGAATTAAGACTATGTACCTTTGTGTTGTCAGTGGAAATTCCTTTCCTCTGAGTCTCCAGAGCACCCTAATTTACTGTATTAGTTGATTGAAATTAGTTTGCCAGTTTAAATCCAGAGGCATTTTCATTCAAGTTTCATTCTGTGTTTCATTCAAGTGACTATTTCATAACTAATGGTGAAATTTTTTTCACTGTTGTTAGGATAAATGGCAACCACTACTGAGTACAGTTACAGGTGTCCATAAATATAAATGGCTTAAGCAAAATGTACAGGATCTTTATCCACAATCTGCACTTCTTAATACAATCACTGAATTTGCCCTTAAAGAAGAACCAGTGGATGTGGAAAAAATGAGAAAATGTTTATTAAAACAGGTAAACTTTGTTGAGAACATGTTTCTCTGCGTGGCATAATATGCCCATCGCTTGAGCTTGTGTTTAATATTTTGCAGTTGGAGAGAGCAGAGGTTCGTCTGGAAGGGATAGATACAATTTTGAAACTGGCAGCCAAAAATTTCTTACTTCCGTCTGTGCAGTATGCTGTCTTTTGTGGATGGCAAAGACTTATTCCTGAGGGGATCAACATAGGGTAAAACTTTATAACATTATTTTTATAAGGGAACCAGACCAGAAAAGTTAGTTTCATTAAACTTCAAATTTTGATACTGTTCTCTATTAAAATTATTTATCTTTAAAAGGGAGCCCCTTACTGATTGTTTGAAGGATGTAAATCTCATACCACCTTTCAATCGAATGCTGCTGGAAGTTACTTTTGGCAAACTATATGCCTGGGCTGTTCAAAATATTCGGAATGTTTTGATGGATGCAAATACCAGATTTAAAGACCTTGGTGAGTATTTCTTTCTTTTTTATTTGGGAAAAAAAGGGAAGAACAAAGCCTGGTATTTAAAAGGCAATATTGAAATTGATGTAATCACAACATTCATATCATCATGATTCAATAATTGGACTCATATAAATAAATTAGGAAAACTTGCAAGAGCTACCTTTTTTTAGCTTTTATTAAGTTACTAAGTATTAGAATCCTAATAGACACATCTTTTTATTTATTCAGGTTCTAAACAATATAGGCAGATACACAGTTTAAAAAATGTTAGATTTTAAGTAAAAATTTTAAAAAATTTTAAGTAAAACCATTATATTTTAACATTTTGATGTGTCACTTATACCATGCATTTCAGAATGTCCATATTCTCTGTTAATATTTGCTTCTGAAGTTGTTTGAACATCTACTGAGAAATGATAGATTTGATTTTGTAGAGGGAAGGTAAACTGTGTGTTACATTTGAAATGAAATTAATAGAATGTCAGTTATAATAAGAGGATATTTAGATCAGTGTACTAAAAGATAGAAAGGTAGGTAGGTAGGTAGGTAGATAAGAGGTAGATGTCTGTTTGTGGAATGAAGGTGGTGGGACATATGTCACTTCAGAGCTGCTTGATATCCTCACTCTGTGGAGATCTGATGAAAAAGAAAGCATTGTTAATTCTTTCTTCATTGTGTATTCTTTTATCTCTGCACAAGAAATTTATGTGAGTGCCAGTTTTTTTTAGGTATTCAGCCTGTTCCCCTGCAAACCATTACTAATGAGAACCCATCAGGACCAAGCCTGGGGACGATCCCACAAGCTCGCTTTCTCCTGGTGATGCTTAGCATGTTGACCCTCCAGCATGGTGCAAACAATCTGAATCTCCTGCTGAACTCTGGTATGCTTGCTCTTACACAGACGGCACTGCGACTGATAGGTAAGTCAGAACCAATGAAGGAATTTTTCTTTTACTTTTCAAAGAGGGGAGTGAACTGGGGGAGAAGGGTGGGCAGGGAGGAAAGTGCAACAATGAATAAATGAATGGAAATCTAAAATCGCTGTAAATGTTCATTAAAATTAATAAAATAAAATTTAAAATAGATTTTTGCCTTGATTGATCTCCTGTTATTTTTTTAAATCTGATTTGAATGAAAATTTGCAAAGAAATTGGTTTTTGTTCACTGATGTGTATGCATTTTTTGTTTTCTTCCTCCCCTTTTTCTCATTCAAACTATAGTGTGTATGTGCTGTTTCAGAATGTTAATTGTGATACACATAATGTTAGGAGCATCCAGTGGCATCACAGTATTTGTGTATTCAGAACTGGTTTATTTCAGGCAGCGTAATGTCCTCTAGACTCATCCATATTGTTTAGTTTTTCTTGAGTTCTTCATTGTTTTTCAGTGCTGGGTAATACTCCATTGTGTGAATGTACCATAGTTTCCCTAATTAGTCATTTGCTATTGTCAGAATTACTGAAGTAAGCATGCGTCACAGCTATGATTTTTTTTCAGGTACATTTCCAGTAGTGGAATCCCTGAGTAAGGTGTTAATTCTATTTTCAATTTTTTGAGGAAATACCAAACTAACTACCATAGTGGTTGTATCATTTTACATTCCCACTAGTAATACATGAGCATTTCATTCTCTCCACATCCTTGTCAACGTTTGTTGTCCTGTTGAACTTTGATTTTATCTTTAGGGTGAGATGCTGATTGTTATTTTGATTTAAATCTTATCTTGAGCTTTTTTCATAATTTTGTTGAATATGTGAATATCTCTTTTCATATATTCTGTCCATTTTCTAATTGAGTGGTTTACTTTTTTCTTTTGGAGGTAATGGAGTATTCTATAAATTTTGCATATGAGTACCTTATCAGATATATTATTGCTAATATTTTTCTCCAATCTGTGGACTTTCTTTGTAAAAGTTTTTTGATCATGCAAGATTTTACCTTTTTTTTTTTTATAACCATCAACATTTATCAAAGTTTATAGAGTTTCCAGAGGCATGTAGAAGATAGTATTACATCCAGAAAATCATTCAGTATTGAGTATTTTAGATTATACATGTATTAACTTATGTTAAAGTTGAAAAAAGGTATTAGAATAGAAAGATTCTAAGATAGAAACTTAACTTTCATTTAATATTTAAAAATACTTACTGCTTAGTTTCCCAAAATATTAATTATTATTCCAATGGTAGCCAGCATTGCATTTTTTAATAAGTGAATCCAAATCAACAATAAACAGATAAGTGTGTATCAAAACTGAGAAATAATTATTTGTGAATGCTTATGTAATATTTACACACACAAAATATTATAAGGTTGCATCCTTAAATTGCATGTTTTGACCTTTACGGTTATGACTGGATGTTGGAAATTGTAAAATTTACAAAGAAAGAACAAAACAAAGAGAGCTCTTATTGCCAGACTGTGTGCATAATTTCAGTAGATCTAAGTTAAATATAAATATATAGTGCATGCATGTCTTTATACAAATAGTCAATGAGTATTTGCCCAACCAGAAGTATCTGTTCTTTCAAATTGAGTTTTTGCCAATTATAAAGAAAACACACCTAAATACCCTTATTACCATTACAGAAATATATTCTCAAAATTAAAGACTTTTCTTTAGTCACTCATATACTAGAATGTCAATTAAACTGGTTATGTAATAGAGGGCAATAACTTTTCTCAATAAATTCTAAAAAACAAAAACCTATCTAGATCTAGTAGAAACAATAATGGATATTACTTAGAAATTGTTATGGTTAGGTATTATTGAGTTTTTAAGACTCATAGGAAAACAACGTAACAAAACACAGTCTGGTTTTGTTTCAAGTCATAGTACTGAGGGGTTTCCTACTTTTTGTTGACTTTTACCAAGCATGATGTCTTTTTCTAGGGACTGGGCCCACCTGATAATATGCCTAATATATTTGAGACAGGTAATTATCTAGTTCAAAATTATACTCATTAATTAGAAAAGAAATCAAGTTATCCAAGTTAAATTTTATCCCCTAAAGAATAGTTTCCTTATATCACTATTGTATTAAAATGAAAAAATTAGATCTAAACCACTTAATTATAATTCTACTCTTTTCTTACTAATTTCAAATCATGACTAAAATTGCAGTTTATGTAGGTGTATCCTCTTTTATAGGCTCATATCTAAATACCAACAAACATTAGTGGAAACAATCTTGTCCAGCTAGGCAAAATAATTCCTTTTTGCTTTGTAAACAATGACTTCTAACCCAGCTCAACTAAATTTTAAATTACAGATTTAAAAAACAGTATTCAAAGGGTATTTTTAAAAAAAGAGTATAAAATTTTGCTTTTCACAAGTCAGTGAAATTTTGCTTTCCTTTTTATAGCTATTTTGTACAATCCCTCCTGAGAAAAATAACCACGCAATTCTCATTCTTCCTATAAAAATGCAGATAGTCAAATTACACGAAAATCTAATGTGATACTGCCAGTTAAAGATGATCGGTAAACTAGCACCATAAGAACAATTCTAAATTTTAACACTGTTCATCAGTAGTTCCATTTTCCTGAGTTTGCATTTGTTCTTTGGCATGGGCTTAAGATATAATCCATTTTTGAGAAGATATTCCTTGCTGGGGTGAATCTGAGCACCATGTTGAAGCTGGAAGGAGCATAAAGCTTGAAGAGATCAAAACAAAAATCTCTAGTATGGACAGATTTTTCTCTATGAGGGAAAGAGCAATGGCTGCACACTCCAGTGTTGATAGGCAACTACTAGTTGGCTCCATTCGAATTACATATTGACTAGGAACATTAGGTTTTAATTGCACCTGTTTAGGAAGTCTGAATAAGGAATTTTTATGGAAGATAACCTTAGCTTGGCTCCATGTTCCATCAATTATGATGATTGCGGAAGGTGAAATAGAAGATTCTAATATAAAGTCTTCCAAGTTAGCAGCTTCTGGCCCTGGGGATAATATTGATGTACCAGAGTTTCGACAAACAGCTGAAAGTTCAGGGTCCCTTTCTTCACTGAAGCGACGGCCAATCTTGACTTTACATTTCCCCTGAGGGAGGCATGCTGCTAGTAGAGGGACTGTCCGAAACACTTTGCTTTCCTCTGCTGGATGTTGAATTATGTACAAGTGAGTAGAGATGTATAGAGGATGCATTGGTAGAAATGGACATAAACACACTTTCTGAGGATGGCTGCAGCGGCAGCACTCCAGCCTCCGCTCGGCTGGCTCCACCTGTAGTTCCCAAAGCCCGTCTGCACTGGCGCCTTCCGCCTGCGCGCCTTCAGTAGCCACTCCCGGCACCGCGCCTCCCTCCTGCTCCTCCTCCTCCTCCTTTGAAGTCTGGCACTTCTAGTCCCTCGGTGGCTGCGCATCAAGGTTTCTGGACATTGGCGCTTCTCTTTCCGACTCCATGGCCGAACTAAGCTCCTACAGTGGTCAAGATTTTACTTTTAAAAGGTCTCATTTATTTATTTTATCCTCTCTTGGTTGTGCATTTCTTTTGTTGTGTTTGAAAGTCTATTTATCCTATTGAGTAGGGCTTCTAAATTTGTTCCTATTTTTTTCTCTGATGATCTTTATAATTTTTCGTTTTATGTATAGGTCACTGATCTCCCTTGAATTTGTTTTTGTATATGGTGTGAAATGTGAATCTTGTTTGGTTTTCTGCCAGTAAGACACCTGGTTTTGGCATCACCATTTGTTTAAGAGGCTTCTGTTTCCCCATGTAAAAGATGTCTCCTTGGCAAAGATGAACTGACTATGGATGGAGTGATTTCTATGTTCTCAATTCTATTCCATTTGTCTGCATGTACTAGCTGTACTAGCACCATAATGATTTGATTACTATAGCTGTGTTTAGTAGGTTTTTTGATCAAGGAGAGAGATGCTTCATACATTGTTTTTCTTTTTCAGTAGAAGTTTGCTGATTTGGGATTTCTTTCCTTTTCACATAAACTTGGAAATTGACTTTTCCATTTCCTTGAAGAATGCCATCAACATCTGTGTTGGGGTTGCATTGACTCTTTACATTGCTTTTGGTAGAATTTTCATTTTCATAATGCTGAGTCTTCCTATCCATGGACAAGTCTAAGCCTCTCTTTGTTTCTTGTACTAGTATTTTGTAATTTTTATTAATAGGTTTTTTTGGTGTCTCTAGTTAAATTTATTATTTATAAACCAAGTATTTTATCTTGTAGCATTGTAATTGGCAATGTTTTCCTTCTTTGTGTTGTCTCTACTAATTTAGAGAAATTGAGACTCAATGTCAAGAAGACAGATTCTCACCAGTGGACCAATTGGCAACATCAGTCTGGATGATGAAGAGATTGAGATTGTTCACAGCTTTAGTTTGCTTGGCTCCACGGTCAATACTCTTGGCACCAGGAGGCAGGAAATTAAAAGACGTATTGCGATGGGAAAGTCTGCTATTAGGGACCTTTCCAAATTATTGAAGAGCAGTGGTGTCTCTCTGGAGACTAAGGTGCGTCTGATACAGGCCATGGTCTTTGCAATCACTTGTTATGCGTCAGAGAGTTGGACAGTGACTAGGGATGATTGAAGGAGAATTGATCCCTTTGAGCTGTGATGCTGGAGTATTGAGGGTACCATGGACTGCTAGGAAAACAAACAGATCCATCCTGGAGAGAGGCAAGTATTCTGAGGCTCCGTCTAACATACTTTGGACGTGTTGTAAGGAGGAACAGGTCCTTGGAGAGGGACATCATGCTTGGTAGGGTGGAGGGACAGTGCAGGAGGGGAAGGCCCTCTATGAGGTGGATTGATTCAGTGACTGGGGTAATTGGGATGGGTGTATCAGAGATGGTGTGATTGGCACAGGACAGCAGAGTTTAGGGCTGTTGTACATAGGATCACTATGAGTTGCAGGTGACTCGATGTCACATAACAACAGCAGCAGTTGATCT